AGAGGCAGGTAGCAGAGCATCTGAAGCACGTCAGACTGAACATTATCTGAACTCTCTGTATGTGTACGTCTCGCGTGTTTTTCCATGGATTTTGTGTGTGTTCTCGCTCCTCTATTCTACTGTGCATACAGTAAGAATTGTGCCCTCTAAAATGTAATATTGCTTCTCTGAAACATGATGGCAATGTTATGCAGGATGAGAAAGAGTTGCAAGAATTCTCTTTTTTTTTCTATTGTGGATATAGTTGTGCACCGCAATGTTGATATCTGAAGATGTTTGTTCTCCCCATTTAAATTCAACATCACAGCTCTTTCGTGGCAACTCCCAGGTTTACAAATCTGTGACTTGTTACGACTGACGAGTTACTGTCCCAATACAGAGGAAGATGGTTTTTTGGGTCTAGGAACGAGCAGGCACAGCAGCTCGACGGTGCTGTCCCTTGTAGAATCTGGGCAGCCACACTGATATGTCAGCACCAACGAAATGAGTATGGCCAAGAACCTGTGTGTGTGCGCTTTGGTAGTGTGCACAGAAATTTACTTTTTAGCTTGCAGAGCTATACTTGTGCGATACTTTGCTATCTACGTATATGGTTTATTGAGAACAGCTTGCTTCGCACGCTGAGATAATTCCGACCGATGCCACCTTCACATGAACACTTTTTTTTTATCAAGTCACATGAACACTTGCATGAAGTGTATTCTTCCGCGAATGCTGTTCCAACACTCGGAAACATTTGTATGAAGTGCATTGTTTCGCTTACGCTGTTACTGCATCCGAAGGCTCTTGATTCTGCAGAGCTTTGTAATATCCTGCAGAAAGATTCTTCTTTCGATGTCTTCTTCCTCGACAAAAAAACACGCGTGGCAAGTGGAGTCACAAACATCATATGCCTGCACCTGTGGACTAAAGAAGTTTTTGATGTGGGGTAAGTTCCAAGCTCCTGATTGACAAGGATCAGAAGGAAGGCTTTTTCTGCATACACTTCATTTTTACTAATATATACAGAAAAACAGAGCAGTTTTTATTTTGCGGGTGAGAAAAACAGAGCAGTTGATTCAATCAAGACAACTAGCAGAATCATAATTATCTTGTTACTAAAGAAAATACTTGGCGGCAAATTCTTTGCCTGACAAATTCTCTGCCTGACAAGACAATTAGCAACATAATCCTTTTAGTTTTACTTTTTTATGAGAACAAAATCAGCATAATCCTTTTAATGAGCATGTCATGTTTACAAGGGTCTAATGTGCCTGCACATCTGAAGTTGATTTTATGAGCCCACATGAACAGAACAGCGCCTCTTTGGCTAAAATTGTATCTTTCTCTCTGCCTTCCAAGTCCTTGTGGAACCCGGAAAAGTTAGTCGCAGAAGCTGTGCTTTTGTTGAGAAAAAAACTGAGAACGTCCGGGTAAATATAACACACAATTCATTGTATATTAGGAGCATATAAGATATGAAACAAAATTGAGCTACAAAGTCCCAAAGTAAATCTATTCTTGTATGCCTTGGAATTGACGGATTTTAATAACTAGCAAACATGCCCATGCGTTGCAACGGGAGACAAAAAAAATTACACGCAAGCCAAATAAGTATGACTCAATACCCCAAATTATGAGCGTCCTCTATTTTCACACGGTGGCTCACCATGTTTTCACTTATCTTTCTCCCCACCCTCGTTGATGATGTACGCGATGTCCATGTGATCACAATGCATTCGACGTGGTAAATCCCAAGGCAATGAGCTTGCCACTGCATGGCACACTTGTCATTGTGCCGCGCAAGAGAATGTTTAAAACTTTAAAAACAAATTTCATGGACCACAAACTACTCCTAGCGCCTAGACATAAAAAGAATTTCCAAAAACTATCCAAATCCTAGACATGAAAGACTTTTGGAGCGACGAACATTTTTTCTAATCGGCAAACATTTGTTTTAAAATTTTGGGCATTTCTTAAATGCATGAACATTTGTTTTGTTCAGACGAATATTTTTTAAATGCATGAATAGTTTTCGAATTCATGAACATTTGTTTTGTCCAGATGAACAATTTTTGAAAAGCATGCATAGTTTTTGAATTCATGAACAGTTTTTGAGTTACAAAACCTTTTTTGTATCAATGAACTTTTTTAATAAATGGGGAACAAATTTTGGAAAATTGTGTTTTTTTATAATTTGCGAACAGTTTTCTAAATCACCAAAAAAATAAAAACTGCGGAAAATTTACGATTTCTCGCACATTTTATGAATTTATAAACATTCTATGATTTCTTGAATATTTTTCTCAAAACTCACAACCTTTTGTAATTGAAAATCTCAAATTAATTTAAAGAAGGAAAAAAACAGAAATATGAAAAGAAAAGAAAAAACGAAATGAGAAAAAAAAATAGGGGCATCACGCACCAGGGGCCGGCCCATGAACGCGTATGTGGGAGGGAGGAGGTGCGTGTGAAAAAGGTAGAGGAAAATAGGACGACCCTGGGAATCAAACCCGGGTCTGCGTGGTGGAACAGTGAGTCTTCAACCACTGAGCTGCTAGTGCGTCCGTGATATATGTGGGGTACCATGTTTATAAAGGACCGTGCGCGACGATGACTTTGAAAAAAACCCGAATCGTTTTCTTGACTTACGAGTGGCATGGCGGGTAATTTATAGTAACTTTGAGGGTATTTGTTTTGTAGCTAAACATTGTATATCTTTGATTTGTTGGACCTAATATATATCTTTTATCAAAAACTATTATTAGTACTCAAAAAGTTTGGAGTAGCATCACACCACAAGACTTATTTCTTAGTGTTATCCTTAGAATTAATATTTGCATTCTCCAAAAATTACGGGGTTACTAAAATTAAACTGGGAAATATGTGACTAATAGAGGACATCATGTTCAATTCAGAAAGGAAGGTGCCACATCTTTCTTACTAAAAGACCATCTTAGCTAAATAGACATGTTCAATTCGAAGCCCCCGATGGCAGGTGGCCAACAATCCCTTGTGGAGCTCCGGGCAATGAAGCTCAGTGATCCGACCCTCTGGCCTCCGTCAATCCATTCTCTGCTGCAATCAGTTTCTCCTACTGCACCGCCATAACCCCTCTAGTGCCAATGTTTGTAATTTAGCGATAAGCGAATGAATGGTTGATTCTAATTAGATTGTGTTTCATATTCTATCATCTTTTTAAACATGATATAACCGTATCCTGAAAAAATAATGTGTTGATGTCTTTCACAAAATGGTAGATATAATGAGCATTATTCATGACAACATTATGCAAATGTAAAAAAATCCCAAAGAAGACCTTCAGAGACCTAGAACCCCTGGCATCATCCTCAATCTAACAAGTATGCATGCAACCCGACTCATGTTTTGGGAAAAATCCAAGTTGAACACCAGGGGCCCTTGCGCATGGTAGGCACTGTTGCCATCTCCAATGGCAAAGGCGTCACTGTTCAATCTCTCATGTTGTACACGCCAGAGTCAAGGAATGGGTTCTGAGGAGTCCTCTCCTGGTGGTACCTCGTGTCGCGCTCCGTCACAAAGTAGATGCAATCTTCTCGAGCTCCGATGACACCACACTGGGCGCCAAAAGTGGCTGGAAGAGACTCGGAACAACCTTGACTAACAAAGAGCGCTCGCCCCGTCAGCGTATCGACTTCTCTCCACCATCCACAACCATCACTGGGGAAGAGCGCTTCAAAGACCTCAAACCGGTGAGTCCGCTTCTCTATCCTAATGTCTGCCGGTAATATCAGAGGTATATGGATTATCCGTTTCACCATCAGCAGCTGATCACCGGACACGACGAGGTAGTGCCATGCGTCGAAAGGATTAAACCATGGATGCCCGAAGTCCTCATCATCCCTCGGGGGCCCGAGTTTGCATAGGGTTTTGACAACCGGCAGCGTGCTGGATGGCTGCTGATCGCCGGCGTCCAGGACATGCAGCTCCTCTTTTGTCGTGAGGACGTATGGTTTCCCTTTAAAGAGGGCAATGTCGGCGGTGAAGGTGCCCGAAGGCGGCGCCCACTTCCGCCGCCATGATGGCGGCCCGTGCCCGCGAGTAGAGACGAAGACGTTGTGGAGGCACCTTGACTTGAGAACGGCGATGAGGTCATCGGAAACCACGGCCTTGTGGATGCTATTCAGAACGTGGTTGGCGCGTGAGTTTCTTCGGAACCAGAACGGTGGCTGAGGGAGAGCGACGGGGGTGGTCACGGCGGGGGAAGGGCTCGTCAGAGAGCACCGGCCGTCGCCGTGCACGAGCAGGAGCGTGTCGCCGGTGGAGACTCGCCAGGAGACGTCGTCCGGGACGGGCAAGTGGTGGATCGCGCCGTCGGGGAGGCTGAGGAAGGTGCCGTCGGGGAGAGCTAGCCAGGGGAGCAGCGGTGGCAGCGGATGCTGCAGCCGCGCGCTGGAGCGCCACGCGCGGCAGACCGCAGCGAGGCGGACGCGGTCGGCGTGCGACGGCAGCCGCAGGAGGACGAGGCCGATCAGCTCCGAGTGGAGATCCGTCCATGGGCTGCGGCGGCGTGAAGAGACAGACGCGGCCATGGTGCGTGCCTGTCAGCGATCTAGGGCTCCCGGTTGCACTTGTTGATGGTTCGATCTGATTCGTTTCTTTTCCATGTCAGGTCGTTTGTCTTGTGGCTTTTGAAAAGGTTATTTTTCAGAGAGAAACTGCACACATGACACATTATATTAGCCAATATATCCTCCAAAAAAGACAATAAATATAGTACAAATACAAGTTAAAAGAAAACAAAGTGCAGTGAATCAACCTATGGTTGCAGATAACGGTATCCCTAGCTCACTAGGATTCAAGTCATCGACAATTATTGATGGTTTGGTCTGATCCGATTCTTTTCCATGTCAGGTCGTTTTTCTTGTGGCTTTTGAAAACGTTTTTTTTTCAGAGAGAAACTGCGCACAGTTTACTAGCCAATAAACACAGTACACGAATACACAAATGTAGAAACTTTCCGATAGACCAGGACATGACAAGTGTCAAGAAAACTAAAGAAACAGTAGAAAATGAAATTACAGAAGAGTCTCTCAAATCCCTGCAAACAATTGAATGTGAAACCATCGCCGACCACCAATGCTACTGTGACGCTCACTGGGAGAAGAGACGGAACTCCAACAAAACCAAAATTGAGATGAGTGCCACAACTTTGAAGGCGCTGCGAGACGAAGATTGAATATGCGGAATAGACACATGATGATGATGTGGCATGTCGGCCAAGGACGTCCGATGCCAACCTCAATTTGGATTGGGCTTATCCTGGCATAGTTGCCAGGGAAGAATGCCAGATACACCAGTTTCGTTCCACTTGTCGACGTCGCCACCCCCCACCCTTGCTCCAACGCCAACTTTTTCGACATCGCCATGAAAGGTGACAACCACAAAAGATATATGGAACAATAAAAGTTCGCCGTACTGAGCGAATGGCGAGTAGATGAGGTCATAGCTCAGCGGGCCCACCTAGGAGTAGGAGAACGTCGTCACCAAACTAGCACAACGTCAACCTCACCAAAACCACATTATTCAATGTAGCGCCAACGTCACCAAACTAGAAGATGAGACATCCTACACCTATGGACCAGCTAGGAGAGATATGAGAGCCCACCCCGCCTCCAGTAGTCGTAGCTACAGATTTGGGGACGGGGGACACCACCTCGCCGACATCCAACAAAGGGAATGTGAAACTCTCGCCTCTATGTCCCCAAGGGGAAGAGATTGAGCGGTTAGTGCATACGTCGTTTAGGAAAAGGAATCGATTTTGAATCAAGATCAACATGTGGGAGTATGGATCAGTGCCACCTTGAGATTGACGGTGTCATCCTCTACATACGTGACAGATACTACAAGCAAGTCGAAATGGAACATTGTTGTGAGGAGAACTTGGATAATGCGATTCCCAATTTTACAAACATAGAGCATCTAGTTGAACTGTCAAAATTTAACTCCTCAAACTTCTCTTCAAATATGAGGTTAAAAAAGTATGGAGATAACCAAACCCTCAAATTTAACACCTCAAAACCTAAATTTTGCACAAACATCTCATTTAAAACTCAAATTCAAAACTAGATTAAGACCACATAGTGCATAATTATACATAGTAGTTCATAAAAAACATCATAATTCGTAGCTAAAGTAGATAGCACTTACATAGAGCTAAATTAAACTAAAACATTTTTCACAAAACCCCTTAAAACTAAAACGAGCTAAATAAGAACTATACCGAGCTAAGTTAAAGATAAAGACACACTAATCCAATAACTGTTGGTTCAACGCCGCGTCCTGCCCGTCTCTCAAAACTGTCGTCCGAATCAACGGGGATGGCGTCATCCGCGGCGATACCCCATCCCTTTGCCACGGCAAGTGGCGAGCCATGGCAATTCAAGCGGCGATGACGAAATTGGGCGGTCACACATCAATTTGGGGAGAAATGGGGGTGGCAGGGCAGGACTTACGGTTTGGGTGTGCTGCCAGTGCGACTTTATACTAGAGCAGGGGAGGGGGTGTCAGTTTAGCGCCTCGCAACTGGTTGAGCCATTTTTCCAGTGAGAGGACATGAGGGAAATTTGAAGAGAATGAGTGTGAGGTGCTAAAATTTAAGCAGAAAATGCATCTTTTCAGGAGTTCCGGTTATATGGCTTCTCCCCAAAAGATGCCATATGAGAAGTTAAAGAATTTGAGGGTTCGGTTAGAGATGCCCTTAGTCTTATACCAGAGCCAAAGACTTGCACATGATAATGCATCCTGTTAAAATCATCCATAAACCATATGACTTGAATGCAAAACATTCTTATCATCATACTAATTAAGAATCTAACATCATGCAAGAAAAAATCAACGTAAGGAGAACACACCGTCCAAATTTCATTGAAATGAAACTGATGATACAGCGCCCAACATTTTAAAGTTCAGCTGAGAACAGTTACAACACTACACTAGGCCAAGAACACTAAGTTCAGCCACCACAGAACAGAACAACAACCACAGGGTAGAAGTGTAGAACACATCACTCATCAAACTGAACCTACCAGCCTACCAACACAGAATCCAATACTACGAATCTCTGCCATCCATCAACAACTCACCTGTCGCTGTGAGGAAGACGCCCTTCCAACTCCCGTTTCAGACGATACATTACCCAACAGTTACTCTCAGGATCAGTAGATTACAAGGCTTGATCATACAGCTTCAGGAGGGAAATACCATGTCGGCCGCCACTGGCCAGCGTGACGTGGTGGTACTGCGGTGGTCCCTGACATTAGCGGCAGGAACGTCTCATTCCTGACGTTGTAAACACCGGCGTCGCGAAGAGGATTTGCAGAATACTTCGGCCAGGGATAGTCACACATGAAGTAGATGCAGTCCTCTTGGTATCCAGTGCATTCTCCAGCACGCAGGGACTTGGAGCTATGTTGGCCAAGAAAGAGCGCATGGCCATCCAAATCACTTACTGTTCTCCATCCAACGGGTTCGGCATGCAGATCGGCCTCAAAAACCCCAAGTGCAACAGTACGGTCATGCTCTAAACAGTCATCACTTGTTGGACGGGCCGTAGAGCGAAACCACCGTATCACCATCAACAGTCTACCGCCACATTCGACTAGATAGTCCCTTACCATACACGCCCCCTCTCTCGGCAAGGATTGAGGTGTTCCACCCAAGTCACCCAGAGAGTGAATTACGCACTCCATGGATGCAATGAAAAGATCCTTGTCTAATTCAAAGATGAAAAGGTGACCAGACCCGCACAGCCCATACAGCTTTCCATCAAAGAATGCGACATCCCCGAGGTGCAGAACTGGATGCTCATCGTCTCTGAATGAGTCAGTCTCAAACGGTGGTTCACTAATACAAAGTGTACCACAGTTACTATCATCCATGATCAGTGCAGCAACAAGGGAACAGGGCGATGAGTCAAGGGGAAAGGGCACCACCAACTTGTAGAAAATTGGACTAAATCTAGAATCAAGATCCAATATTCCACGCTTCCATATTTTGGCTAGCTTAGGAAGCTCCAACCTGGTCTTGGAGAAAGGGTTCATCAAGTAGCACACATCATCATTGTGCGTGAGGAATAGCCAGTTTCCAATGGAGCCCTGGCAACACGCACCTTCTGGTAAAGATATGCGGTGAATCTCACCGTTTGGAATGCTGAGGAAAGTACCATCAGGGAGAGTGAGCCATGGAAATGGGAGAGGAAGGGGTTGCAACATACTATTAGAGCGCCATGGGTGGCAGACAGCTCTTAGACGAACACGGTCAGCTAGGGAAGGGAGGCGCTTGAGAACAAGTCCCAGGAGTTCTGGCGGAAGATCTGACCAAGGGCGAAATTCCGCAGCCTCCATCATGCAAGTCTACAAGAGAAGGCATATGATTCGTAATTAGAAAGAGTTAAAACTGCAACTAGCAATACATATGCTTTCTGTACCATTTTAAGGCTAAATTTCGTCAGCTCTATTTGATAAGAAAGCTGCAGAAGTTCAAAGTATCATCATAATATGAAGATATGGGGGAACCATAAATACATCGTGCAGAAATAAACTAGTGAAAGTACATTTGCCAAGTCACTTGGCCTTGCGCTATGCATATATGATTATTGCACTTGGTAACATCAGTTGCAGTAAACAGTACAGTAAGCACCATTTTGTTGGCATCATAATTCATAAGTATTAACTCCAAGCAAGATTAGATAGTATACTAGGCACTCATTTTTCAAGATTCATTATTCCCTTCCTGTAACTAGAAACACCAAATCGGCATCATTGGTATACTAACTATGAGAGAATTGTGTTCCCAATCTCTCATGTGCTATATCCCAGCGGCAAAGACCCAGTCACTGCACTTATTCCATTTTCACTTTATTTAGAAGAAAAGGCTGGTCTATTAAGTAAAAAATATGTATGGAAAAAAGAAGTGCCATCTTATTCAAGTACAAGCTGAAAGCCTGAAACAATGGCTGGGCATCACAGGAAAGTATAATACTGCACGAACATTTGCTGTTTTACATCAGACTATTACCAATCGTCGACTAAAAGAAAACAAATTTTGGTTAGCCAAAGTACCAACTTAAGAAAGAGGTGTCCTTTTCTTCCTTTAGTTCCTTTAGTGTACAAAAAAATATATTCATACACATTTCTACCAGGCGCAGATCTACTAATTAACTGAAACATTTTAGGTAGAAAAAAAATTAGGGATTTGCAAAAGAGGTGACATTTTATATTTTCCTCAAGAACAGGGTGGGAGTGTGAGATATTGAGAGAGGTCCGCATCAGAGACAAACATTCCTGAACATTTCTAGTTCACACCAGGTAAAAAAAAACCACCAAGCATAGATCTAGTAGAAGAAACAATGGTGGTCAGGTAAAGCATCAATCCGCCCAGCCAGATCTACTGGAAGAAACCCCTGACAAGATAGAGAGTGCGAAGGCGAGCTTACTGCTGAGTCTTGTTGCCTCGTCGGCGAGCCGGTGGATGGCGGGGAACAGATTCGGCCTCCAGCAGGTGAGGTGGGGCGGGAGGCTTGCTAGTGACAGGCAAGTCTCAAATCGCCGGAGGAGTAGGGATTGGAACCTGACCATGGGAGGGGAGGGGAGAGAACCGGGGAAGCCCGATGGGAAGAGGACAGAGTGAGACCCTGCTCACAGCAACTCTAGCAAACCCGTATAAACGCACAAATGGTAAAAGTCCGGCGACTATACGAGTTTGATCCGGTTTTTGGGTCAGACCAGAGCCCATATAGCCGCCCGGTCCGTAATTTTTTTTAGGTGGCCCGCAAATCGCCCTACCACACCCCCTCCCCTCCCAATTCAGTACATCTACGGGTTTGCCGTCCGATACGAGCC